TGGTTAAAACACTTCTCTTGGATCCTGCAGACCCTGGTTCAATCCCTGGCACTGCATATGCTCCTCTGAACACTGCCAGTGGTCACTCCAGAGCACAGAGCTAGAAACAGCCCTGGAGCACTGTCGGGTTTGTTATCTACCCCGCAACTCCCTCTCCACATATACAGAGCAATTAGCAGGGTATAAACCAGGTTGGTGATCACATTTCACAATAGTAAACGGTTGGTCTTATTAGTATTTTTGCTAGAACAGATGGGGCAGTTCTTCCCCCAGGCAACCGATTTATGTTATGAAGCTTTCCATTCAAATGTTGTTCATTATCAGAAGACAGTAGGCAACCGTAGCTGGGTGTCAGAAACCTCTCACTAGCTGCACGACTCTTAACAAATTCCTACTGTGACATAGGCCTATTTTCCTCATGTTTTGTGAGGTTTGTATAAAACAGAAGCATTAACCACACTGTGCCTGGGGAACACTTCAGGGATGATGTCAAACTGTCAGGGCCAGGAAGGAGTACTTTGAATGCACAAGGTTAAAAGTCAAATCAGATCTCCTCAAAGGTTAGCTTTGTTTTTAGTTTTGAACTTGCAGTGCTTGCTGTTGATTGCATGCCCTTTTCTGGCGCTTACATAAAACTGGCCTGTGGTGTGAGGGACTGAACACACAAAAGCCGTGGGGCTCAAATGACAAGCTGTCAGAATTGCGCTCGGCACAGCTGAGACCCTGGGATTAGAACTCATGCTCGTAGATTTGCAAGGTAGGAGCTCTAAACCACTGACCCATTCCTGAGGGCCTTAAAATTTAGAGTTCTCAATAAGAAGATTAGGAATTCAACAGGCAGAGTTTACAGAAACTCAGAAAGTCTATCTTTTAGAGTGGCTAAGTCTGATGGCTAAGTCTGTATGTAAGTTAGGATACTCTGCCATATGGGGACTATTTTCAGAAAAAGAACTGAAAGTTGATTCCTGTTTCAGTCTAGTAGCAGTAGTATGACAGACAGTACTAATTTCTAGGAGGTTTCTGAAAGCAGAATACAAGAAGCCCAGTTCACTTCTCAAATACAACTTGAAATGGGAGTATTAATAATAAAGAGACAGATCTGTGAAGCACATTAAAATACAATGCTGGAAGTTTCCCAGCTGGCTTATTATGTCCAGGTTTCAGAGCACTGTTTGTTGAGTCCTTGTTCCACTCATTAAATGTTTCACTTTTATGTCAGATACCAAATCATGTTATGTTACTAGGGAGAAACAGCAAACGGGAAAGATGTGATGGTCCTTTCCTATAGAGCTTCAATCAACACCATGAACTGTGAAAGGAGCCTGTTAGGTAAAGTACTGATTACCACTGGAGCACAAGGAAGATGGAACTCTTGGGTTGGAAAGAGTATGGGGGTAAGGAACTTGCCTTGCATGCAACCAATCTGGGCTGGATGATCCTGGCACCACAGGTGTTCCCCAAAGCAATGCTAGGAGTAAGCCTTGAGCACAGGCAACTGTAACCCAACCCTTCCCTCCCACCAAATAAATATTCCTCCCCTTGGAGTTCAAGGATGCATTCCTAGGTTGAAGAGATAGTATAGGGGATGAGGCACTTATGGGTCCTATGCGCAGAGCTAGGAATAGCCCCTGAACAGTCAATGTCACAAACAACCCTTGCGCCCCTGGTATTCTCTCCTTCCACCTCAAAAAAAGCTTTTCTAGGGAAAGTCATTTATCAGCTGTAAACTGAAGGATCAGGGGGTATGCAGTATAAGAATTTTATTTTTGTTGTTAGGTTAAGAGAAAAGGAGAGGAAGAACTGAAGCTCAGAGGCAGTGTCTGTGCAGTAGCAACACCATGTTCAAAGGCAAGGTGAGGGAGAACATAGAATATACTAAAATAAGTGACTCTCCATTCTCGATCTCTCCCATTTCCTAACCCAGTGGCGTTAAATGTTGAGAATTAAGCCTGGATAAACCACCAGTACTACTACAAACAGGGTTTGTTAAGACTTAAATCTAAAAGCAGAAGGGCAAAAAAGAGCTGTACCTAAGGGAAGGATGCAAGGATGGCTCAACTGGAGTATGGGAGAGGGTTGGTATTTCGGTGGTGAGTGTGGTATGGTAACACAGTACCCCTAAAACATGTAAATATTTTTAATCTTGTAAATTGCTCAATAAATACAACATTTTAAAAAAAGGAAACAACTGAGTCATTTTCTTTTCCTTCGATTTTGGAACACAGTCAACAGTGCTTAGGTATTATGCAGTGCAGGGGAATAAACTTGGTGCTCCCATATGCAAGACAAGAGCTTTACTGCTGAGGTACATCCCTAGGTGTTAAGAGTTTATATTCCCTCATTTAGCTTTAAGGCTACATCTGGTGGTGCTCTGGGATTGAGCCCGGGCATCCCACAAACAGAATAGGTATATGGCTCACTGAGGTATCATTCTGGCCCTAATATAGAAGTGGTTTCGTGACAGATTGAAATTTCAGAAAGGTGACTGTAGATACAAGACTAGATTAGAAAAGAACAAAATATGATGGAGAGACCAGAAATGGAAGCTGCGTGCTCATTCCATGCAAGGATGACCTGAATTTAGACAACACCAGTGAACACAGAATTAAGTGGCTGCACTTGGATTTGGAGGGTAAAAGGGAACAGAATTATTTTTCAGTTTGGATTCTGTGAAGTCATTGCTGGACTGTTTGTACTTTTTTTCATGGGACTCTCACTCTCCCATGCAAAAATGGAGTCTGTTTCACCATTCCTCTAACCTACACTAGTCTTGGTTTGATCTAACAAATAACACATGCCAGAAGTAATGGCTTCCATGGCTAGGCCTTAGATGGAATTTTGCTCTTTGGAATGCTGCCTGAGGAGGCCATGGTAAGACAAGTCTGTCCCACTGGAGGAGGCAAGGTTCAAGGAGAACCAAGCCATCTTGCCTGGCGGCACCATCAATAAAGTCATCTTGACTTTGAGTTCAGACAACCTACTACCTCAAGAGAGCTGGAAAGAAGAGGCCAGAGAAAAACAGAGGCACCGTTAAGCAGATTCACAAAATTATGAGAAGTTATTAAGCCATTCAACCTTTCTGTAATGACATAACCTTAGATAACTGAAACTTTAGATAATTGAAAGTCAAGAGGCAAGAACATGTAGAGGGGGTCGGAGTGCTACTATAGAGGGTAGGGTAAAGTACTGCCTTGCATGCAGGATTCAATCCCCAGGACCCCATACGGTACCCAGAGCTAACACAGGAGTGATCCCTGAGTGCAGAACCAGGAGAAATAAGCCCTGAGCACTGCCGGGTGTGGCACCCGAACAAAAAATTAAGTTCAGAACTAAACTGATATACTGGTGTTTGAAATAGTACGGCGGGCAGGGCATTTATCTTACTCGCAGCTGATCTGAGACCGAATCCAGATATTCCCCATACGGTCCCGGAAGTCCCGCGTTAAGCCCTGAGCAGAGCCGGGTGTGGTCCAACTTCTCAATACGCGGATATAAGACCGGTTTAAAAGCTCCCAGCACAACTCTCACTTAAAAAGTTTTATTACTCACTGAGCAAAACACGCACAGCAAAGTTCTCAGGAGTTAACCGGTACTTGTTTTATGAAGGAAGCGAAAATCAAGTCAAAAACTCGTCTTCCCTCAAAGATTAGGAACCATCTGTTCCATTAACGGAGCAAAATGAGATGCAAAAGTCCGTTAACCCCGTGTGACCTTAAACGAAGTGAAGTCTATCGTCTTAGAAAAGCAATTTAAGAATTAAAAAGCATGCTTTGTGATGGAGCGGCTTCTTTTTATTGCAGAAGCTTCTTTAAAGCCACACATTCCACTTAAGTGCATACAACAGTATAGGGACTGCCGAGGTGAAGAGGCGAAGTCAACGTGTCTCACAAGAGGAGTAGCCACTAACTGAGACAATGATCCCGGCGATCAGGATGTGCTGCTTAGTCCAGACTTAGTGGCTTTCCTAAGTTTGGGGGGTGGGGGTGGGGGTCTCGTCCCTGGGTTTCTTTACTTGGAAGAAAATCCCCATTTCCTACCCAGACTGCCTGCCCATTTTCTTTCCTCACCGTGTGATGTATCTGCAGCTACGCAAGAGAAGGTGAATACACCGTGTGATGTACCTGCAGCTGGGCAAGAGATGAATACCAAGGTGCGTCCGAAACTCGGACGAGGGAGGACAAGGATCAAGGAAGGCGCTAAGCCACGTCGCAGCCGGCCGCCGCCTTGGGAAGCCCACGCCTCCCACCCCGCTCGAGCGCCTCCGAACGCATTTCGGAATTCAGTGTCCCTGATCGCAATCCCTCCTACCGGCCCCGAGGTTGCGGTGTAGATGAGCCCCACTCACCGCTTGAAGCACGGTAGCCAACAGCATCCGCAGCCCAAACGCCGGCAAGAGCCGCGCGCCGGAGCCGCCCGCCATCGTTCCCATCTTCCGTAGGTCTCGGTGCAGCGAGGACCTCTGTGCTAGGGGTGTCCACTCCCAAGCCGGATCCAAAACCGGACGTTAGGGCCACTCTCGTCAAAGCGCCTATACTTCAGAGACTGGTAATAACCTGAAGACATATACAAGCTTAAAGGGGCTGGAGAGTCTTTATACTTAATATACATACGACGTCTTCGGGTCCGTTTGGCAACTCAAATCAGGCACTTTGCTAAACTCCCCCAATCTGCGCCTCTCGGGGTTCCTTCCATTCACGACATTTCCTCAAGCCGCCGAGAGCCCCGCCTTCGTCAGTGTCGACCTGCCCCTCCCCGCCCTTTGCCGGGTTTATCCAATCGAATGTCGTCATGGTTGAGATCTACGGCAAAGGAGACCAATCGTAGCGCGAACCGAAAGCGAAGCCGCGGGGCGCTGTGGTCCAATAAGCACAACCCAACGGGAGCCGAGGGCGGAGCTTCTGGTTGCCGAGCAGCGTACGTGGATGCGTGCGCGTGGTGGCGGAGAGGGCGGGCCAGGGGGCGGGGCCGAGGGCGGCGCAGCCGCAGCCGCAGCGCTGGCGGTGGAGCGCGCGGCCGCGAGCAGAGGGAGGGTTCGGGAGGAAGCGAGGCGAGCAGGCGGGCGGGCGGGCTGGCTGGCGCGGGGGTCGGCAACTGAGGCTCGGAGCGGAAGGCGAGAGCCCGGCGCCGGCTCCGCGCTGCCTTTTGCTGCGCGGGCTTGTGGAAGGGGCGGCCGTTGAGTGGTCGTCGGAGAAGCGAGCACGGGCAGCGTTGGTGCTAGCGCCCGAGGGCGGGGGGCTGGGGAGACGAGAAGGGGGGTCGCTGCGGTGCTTCTCCGGCTGTCGCGCTCTCCTGGCCTCGCCCCCGGCGGGGTGGGCAGCTCTCGGCCGGCATCTCGCTCGCCTCCGGGGTCCCGCTCCCCGCCCCCCGCGGTATGTCTTGATCCCGAGCGGCGGGTTTCATGGGGCTCCTCAGGATTATGATGCCGCCCAAGTTGCAGCTGCTGGCGGTGGTGGCCTTCGCGGTGGCGATGCTCTTCTTGGAGAACCAGATCCAGAAACTGGAGGAGTCCCGGTCTAAGCTAGGTAAAAGGCGCGCTGCAAGGGGCTGGTCCGGGGAGGGGGGCGGCGTCGCCATCCGGGCTGCTGGGCGTCCGTCTGATCTGGGATCTCTCTCTGGGGCTCCGAGACGGAGCAAGCTTGCAAATAAATAGATAAATAAATAAATAGAATAAAATTAAAAGGGGGGTGGGGAGCTCGGACTCGCGGGAATGCACGCTCCTAGAAGCGTGTGCATGAACCTGGAGTGGAGCGCCGGGCGCGCGAGGTCACGGGACGGAGCGGGGGGTGGTGGTGGTGGTGGTGGTGGTGAAGGGTGGGTTCCTCGGAACCGAGAGGCCACCCCCGAAGTGAGCGATCGGCAAGCGGAGAGCAGGAGCACGAAGTCTGCGGGGCGCGGGCGCTGCCGGCGGAGACCCGCGCCGCGCGGTAGCTGCTGGGGGAGGCGGACGATCCCGGGCGTGGGGCGTTCTCCGGTGCGCCCTTGGGCACCCTGCACGCGTGATTTTGGGGAGCTGCTGAGCAGCGTCGAGGGGAATGCAGAAGGGGTAAGCGGGTGGGCGTGAGGGTGGGTAAAAGCAACTCGCCGTGGGGAGCTCCCGCGCTTGTTCCGGGGGCGGCGAGGGCACCAAGCGACAGTCCGGAGGAGCAGAACTGCCCGAGTCGGACGGGATTGCAGATTTCAAAACCTCTGAGCTACCCAGGACTATGGGGGCGTCTCAGGGCCTCTCGGAGCGTCAAGAAGCTGCCAGATATCTTCTACTGGAGAGGGAAGAGGCAGCGTTCTTTGCCCCAGGCGACTCCAGAAAAATATGAGCTTACGCCGAAAGGGAATTTCAGAGAGGTATATATAAGTGCGAAAGGAAAAGCAAGACTGTGCACACGTTGAAAAATAAAGCATTGAGCAATCGATTTAGACCCTCTTGGAGTTCACAGTGATTGCTTACCGCGTGGTTGAAGTGCGCCGAAGTACGCAGAGTCCGAGTGGGAGTTGTGAAAGATCAGAAAGTGCAAGGATCACGGGCACCCTCAGCGTCAGGGGGCCGGGGCATTTGCAAAGAGCTCGGAGTGGGAAAGAAGTTTTGAAAGACTGCCAGCGGTAAATTTTGATTTAAAAATGTACCTGGCACTCAAAAATAAGCTCCGTGCTGTAATTTGAATGTGGAGACGTAATACGAAGTGTTTATGCATGCACGTCCACCCTTAGCTGCATTTTAAATGTGTGTATGTATTTGGAGATCCGAGCAATAAAATACCGGTAACAGTATAATTTAGTCTAAAGAGCAACAACTAGAAGCTGCAGGTGGCGATTCATTATGGGAAATGTAGCAGAAAATAGTATTAATGTTACATATTTTGTGGTTTTGAGTACTCTTTGCAGAAAGCTGTGGAGGTTGTGAATTGCGGGGGGGGGGGAGGGGAGGGGAGGTAGGGGTGTGTGTCAACTGCTTCGGAAACTTGATGTGACGCTGAAATTGAGGAGTAAAGATTAATCCCAGCCCTCAGCTCTAGGGTAAAATTTATTTACTTAGTATAGTCTTGAAGAGATATTAAACTTACTATGATTTTATTAGTATGTGGCATATGTGGAAAATAGTCACTTTAAATATTGAATGGTGGCCAAGATGCTCTTTCTTATTGTTGGATTCACTTGGGGACATTCATGCTCATATTCTGGCATCTTTAAAGATCTAGAGAGAAAGGGCTCTTTTTAGGGAAAGTTGAAAGTTAATTTGAAAATTTAAATTTCTACCTTTTGTTATATTGTTATTTGAATTTTGAGTTTTCTAGACACATTACAGTGGGTTAGGGTAGCTTAGTTTTTCCTTCCTTTATTAACACTTTTTAACATTTTTAAGTGATTTTTATTGATTAGCATACCGACGTAAATGATTTTAAAAGTTCTCTGATGGTATGGAAAGCCACAGGTAGAAATGAACCCGCTTTTTCCTGAGTGTGTGTGTGGGGGGGGGGTGTGTGCACGAGTGTGTGTTGGAGGTGTGGGAGGCACACTCACTTGTGCTATGGGCTGGGGTTTATTCCCTGCTTTTTGTTCCTGGGTAGCTCCTGGGGATGCCTTTGGGCTGGGGGTGCCAGGCAGTGCCAGGGACTAATTAGAGTCCTCCTTTGCAAGTGAGTAGGCCTTTGAGGTGTCTCTTAGGCTTTTTCTCCCCTTTTGTTTATTGGGCCACACCTGACTGTCATCAGGTTACTTTTGGCTTTGTTCTCAGGGATCACTTCTGGTTGGCTCTGGGACTCATACAGGGTACCTGGGATAGAATCCGGCTTAGCCCTGTGCATAGCAAGAGTCTTACCCACTCTAAGATCTCTCCATCCCTCTCTGACTTTTTTTCCTGATTTTTTTTTAACAAGAAAAAACCTTTAAGTTCCACCAGTATTGTAAATGTGAATCCAAAGAGACAGTCCTCAAAAATGAATGAAGTGGACGAGCCTTAAATACAAAGCACTTAAAGGAATGAAACATTCTCTGGAGATGCAAAATCATGACCAAAAGAAAAAAAAATGTTATCAGCAGTCTTTTTGTTTTTCTTAAATGAAGTCTTTCAATAACAATACTAAAACAGATGTCACCAGTTAGTAATCTTCCTTAGAAAGGGAAGAAAGAAGGAGGCATATTTTGATAACCAGACTGTTGTGTACTGGGCACTTTGATGTGTGATATTCTCATTTCATTTTCCAAGAATAACAACAAAAAGCCATTTATACAGATGTGGGAACAGGCTTGCATTTTATAAAACTTGATCGTATTGGTAGTGTAAGTGGCAGAGCCATGATTGCACCTCGGTATGTTGGTTCCAAATAAAGTGCTCCTTTAATTATGCCAGGCTGCTTGGGACTTTTTATTGCCATTATTCTAACATTGAGCAGTTTAAGTAGAATTTTAAAACTGCAATGCCAGTGCTTAATTGCATTTATTTCTAAGAATTAATATCATTCTGAGAAAATCCAATTACTGACACAACGGAATTGCTTAGAATAATATTTTGCCCTCTTGTTTATACCTGTATAATGAACATAATTATATTATCCATTGAAAAGACTAAAATAGATAACAGTTCTGCTATAGGAAATAATCTATGGTAGTATTTTTTGTAACTGTTAAAGTAGCACTGTAGTACTGTCCTCCCATTGTTCATCCATTTGCTCGAGCGGGCACCAGTAACATCTCACAACCAATCGTGAGACTTGTTACTGTTTTTGGCATATTGAATACGTCTCGGGGGAGCTTGCCAGGCTTTGCTGTGTGGGCAAGATACTCCCGGTAACTTGCTGGGCTCTTCGAGAGGGGCGGAGGAATCGAACCTGGGTTGGCTGCGTGCAAGGCAAATGCCCTGTCTGCTGTGCTATTGTACAGCCCAACAATTAAAGTACAATATTAAAAAAATATTTTATTTTTGGCATTAGGAAAGCTAGTGTTTGTCCTTAAAAGTAGTTTTTAGGGGACCTGAGTGATAGTACAGTGGTGTTTGCCTTGCATGCGACAACCCGGATTCAATCCCTGGCACCCTATTTGATACCATGACCCTGCCAGGAGTGATTCCTGAACACAGAGCCAGTAGTAACCCTGAACCCAGGGGTATGGCCCCAAAACAGGAAACAAACAAACAAAAAACAAGTTTTCTTTTTCAAAGGACTTGTTACAATTTCTTTACATTGCCTTGATTTGGGAGTATATTTTTCAAAGAACTTTTTAATATTGCTTTACAGTTAATATTGCATACAATTGCTTTACATTGCCTTGATTTGGGAGTACCTTGGTGGTGAAAGCTCTAATAAACAGAAGATATATTACAGACCTAGGTATATTCATTGCCCAACCAGGCAAATTATATAAAGAAGGAATTCGGAAAATACCCAACAGAATACAATACAGTTTTGTTTTAAGTAAATATGGTTCCACCGTCTACATTATACTCTGTGACTGCCATATTTTCCCCCATTTAATAGCATAACTTTCTTTCCAGTTCAAAAAATATAAATTTCACTGACATGTTTGAAAAGCTGTGTAATGTTCCATAGGGTCCATATATCCTAAATTATAAAACTTTATGTCAACAATGTACATTTGGTTTGTTTTCAGCTTCTTTAAAAAAATTAATTTCTTTCATGGTATTATATACCTGTTCTTCAGACTGTTTGTATTTGTGGACCAGTACCTATTCCTGCATACTGGTCCATGGAATTGGCAGTTAAGACCAAAACTGTAGATAGACCATTGGTTTTCAACCCTTTCACACCTGCAGACCAGCACTGATCCGTGGACTAATGGTTAAAGAATGCTGTTATAAACAATGTTAAAAGAAACACACCATGTATGTGTTCATGTAACTTTGTATGTGTTGTCATTTTTTATTTTGGGATATACCTAGCAGTGCCTGGGCACTGTTTTCAACTTGGGGCGTGACTGTCTCTGAGCTGTGGGAGCATACAATGCCAGGAGGACAAAATCTGGGCTCAAACCTGGTACCTCCGCACAGAGTATGCCTTCCATCCTTTTGAGCTATATCCCTGGGCTGTTGTCACTTTTTACTAGGATAAATTATTTTATATGTGGGATTATTAGGGCAAAGGATATATGTATTTTGCATTTTGTCAGGTTTTTATATGTTGTTTTAGAAAAATATATACTTTCCAGAAGGTTAGGTAATTTATACTGATAACACATTTACACACACTGGATTCTACCAGTTTTTCATTTTGCTACTCTGAAGCTGTGAAATATATGATGTTGTATTAATTTACATTTCCTTCACTTCTAATTAGGTTGAGTATTGTTAGTTCATTTTCATTTGTCTGTTGGGTTATTTTATCTAATCAGTTAATTTTAGTTTGATATTAGAATTAGTAATCCTCTATTTTGTCATATTTTTCTTCATTTGTTCTTTGAGTTTATGGTATATTTTGCTTATACAGAGTTATACAACTTAGTCAAATCGATCAATTCAGACAAGTAGGTTTTTTCTGTTCCTTAATTCTGTAACTAAGATTATGTGCATTCTCTATAT